GCTCGCTGAATCAGAGTGGGTACCACCAGCCAAGCCCGATTTCTTAAAAATCACGACCGATTTTTTTCCGCCGGTGTTTCCTCGGCCATATTAGAGCGAATTTCGAAAAATTACGTAAAACCGCAATGGTCACTGGTGCCGTAAAATAAAACGCGGAAAAAAATTACATTTCCAAGCGAAATATCGATGAATGAGATAAGAAAATCGCCAAACCATCAAAACGAAAGTAAAAGTTTGAAATGTGTAGGTATTACTTAAATCGGGTACCGTGCATATTAGGGGACTTCTGCGCCAATGGGTACCGAACAGTCTTCGAGAAGGCTCGCTAATGCTTTCCGTTGATTTTGCGTAGAATTTAATGGAGAAATCGCTATTTAACCACTGATTTATTTGCCAAAAACCATTAGGTAGAACTTGTGAGGTTCTGTCACATCAAAGCTTTAAAAGCAACTGTTCTTCTGTGGTAGGTAGAGGAATCAGACCAGTCGGTTACAAGGCCTCCGCACTGGCTCTCTATTTCTTCAGCAGAATATCGTATCTGATACTAATACGCGTGAAGCGGTTCCAAGAATAGTGGTACCTACGGCCTGCCATTAAACCGTGAATACTATTGCCCAGGAAAAGTCGTATAAATAATTTATTGATATTAATACAATACATTTTGAATCGACGTGAGACGAGATGGCCGGAGCAGCACATAGATTCATTAAATTACGTGACTGTCTTTGTGCTGCATTAATGACGTCCCACAAACGTTCAATTCTACAAAAAATCAATCTTGATGGCATCATCTGCTAATCAACAAGCACATGCCGTTCATAAACAAAGCAGGGCCACTAGGCGCATATAAATGAAATATTAAATTCGGCAAAGTCTGAAAAAGCTAATTAAGACAACCTTGAAAATATCCCCAAGTTTTTGTTCCTTGTTTTTGGCGCTTCGCCTCGGTAATTTGGTAGCCATGTTGCCCATTAGGCTTTGGAAACCAGTTCTTTATTGGCTATTTGTTATCGAGTACGTGCCAATCACCAATTCAAATACGTTTTGTCTATTCATTCAAGCTCCCCCATCTCGGCCGTTCCATATTTCACCGTCTAGAAAGCTTCAGGTATGTCTTATCACCTTGGTCTCAAAGGGCTTTTGCTCACATGGAAACGATATTCAAATTTCAGTATCTTGTGGCCCAGGGAATTCAACCCTTGAGTAGATGGGTTGTATTCATTTTTGTCTAGGTTTTAAAGATACTTCCAATGGGTCAAAGAAGCTTAGCTCGCCTTGAATTTTAATCGGTAAAGCTGCTTTTCTACGCTTTTCACGTCCACCATATACAGTATCCTGTTGTCTCCTGTTGTCTGAAGAATCGTCGTTCCATCTGATTCACCCGGCAACTTGCGCGTTTTCCATTATCGCCTCATTGAGCCCTGAGCAAAGTTGATTTCCAAAGCGTTTTTGAGTATTCAGCGACATACAAATGAAGATTTGTTGTACAGCTTCAAAAGGAGTCTCGTGTAATTGGAAAAAAATGTAAACCTAGCATGTGGTTGTATGGTCAGGTTTCCCAAGGCTAACGTGAACATAACACGATTCAACGTGATTACTATAGGAAGTTATTAGCGATTTCAGTTCGAAGGTTGTGACTATCAGTGGACCCGGAACTTCGATGAATCCACCTGATTTGTGTACCATTGATTTTTTGCCTTTGTTCCAAGCAAGCGCTATCACCGATGAATCGCTAAATGCCCACACACGCCAAAAGTTGAGGCTTTTTCTTTGTTCAACAATGGATGATTAATTAATTGTGGAAACTTTGTCAAAATTATCCCATTCAATCACTAAGCACAGATTAGCACCATTTCTACTTATAGTGCGTTGATAACAGGCATTTGTTTGAGATTGTCTTGTGATGAAACATTATCTGGAAAGGTGGAATTTTTATTAATTGTGTTTGTTATCGAGAACGTTTTATCAACAAAGTGACCCAAAAAAGTATTCTCACTTGTCCGTCACTGGTGGATTCAGGAAACCTATAATGGCCACCACTAGAAACATAGCTTGTTGAGCAGCCATTTTTTTACATTTTTATGCAAAAGTGTCCAGAAAACCGCGATGTATAATTTATGGGGTGCTTGAGAATTGGTCAAGCACCAATCGTAAACTTTTATCGATTTTCATTTGTTACTTTGGGCGACGTTGCAGGACGAAAACTAATGCGGGAAAAATTGAAGAATGCTAAATGTGCTTTTTTTACGGAGCTTTGGTAGATTTAAGTTGAAACTTTTTGAACTGCGTTGACTCCGATGTGGTTCAGTGATGACTGTAATAGCTTCCTTTCTTTCGCCTAATCTTCGGCACTGTTCTTATCAACCCTTAAACAGTTAAACAGTATAAAGCAATGACTGGTGTTGTTTTTCTGCAATATTTTATCGGCCCGAACAGGAAAACAAGTAGACATTTTACGATACCGCTGACTACCGGTTACTGATTTGAAGCGAACAGGAAGCTGAAAATGAACGAATATTAAAACGAACTTTCTCTAGCCAGCATTGACTGGAACCCGGCAGCAACCGAATGAAGGAAGCTAAAATAATAATAATAGTAATAAGTATAAGCAACCTCGGCTTTTATAATTTATCGGTTTTCAGAGCGGTACGGCTGCGAGTTTTACCAATTGTAGGGAAAAACACAGAAATTCTGCATTTCATATCGGTTTCATGTGTGACAAGTATCGCGGACCGTCATTGAAAGTGTCGTTGGCCCGTTCCCACCATCATCAGTACCACCGTTGACTGTTGAGAACGCCAGTTTTTACGCATTCTGAAAGAGAACCTGCACTTGACATGCTGAATGATGGATAGCGAGTTTTTTCCCTTGATTTTTCACATTCACATGCAGACCTCGTGGCGTATTATTCAATGTTTTCGGTCAAAAATTGCCATTTACGAACTGGCATCACCGGAAGTACCGCCGTTGGGTACTCGTCAGTTTATCTTGATCTTTAACTGACGAATTTTTTTCCTTGGGCTAAAATGCCCCTTAAGTACTCACGAAGCTACTAACTACTACCCAGTAACGATAAAGACTAAGCAATGCTAAAATTTCGGGTTTCTTGATAGGAAAAATATTAAATATTGCATAAACAATTGCTTGTTGGTGTGGGCCACTAATTTAGGGTTAGCATACGTTGCGATTCCATGAACATCTAAATGCAGGATAGGTTCCGTGCGCTGTTGCCGTGCTGTAATAATATTTAACGTCAATTTTCTGTCGCTATAAATAAGCGTAGTAAATTTGTTTTTCAGTCGCTATATCAGAGGGAAAAAAATTGAACTTTTGGATGAATTGAGCTCAAGAATAAAATACCTTTAGTTTTTGAAAATATCGAAAATTGGTATTAAAAAAAGTTGATCAGAAGTTGATAATGAAAGTATTCCTCCGAAATAGCAAATAAATTGCATTATACATAATAATTCTTTATTAAAATCTACAGTAAAAATGCGTTAAATGCTTGACATAAATGACGGATAGAACGCATAAAATTGACGTCAAATATTACTACCACTTGGCAACAGCGTGGAGCCGGTTCTGTGTTTAGACGTTCCTTGCGATCCCCAGGATCGAATTGGCGATTTTGGGCTCATCAAACCTCTCTAATATTGTCATTAAATCGCCTTTACTAAATACTTCGAAGCCTTTACGATACTGTTGGTGAACCTGAACGCTTTCCATTAAATTGCTCATTGTTTATTCATTTCTTGCATCTTTATGCAGGATGATTCACGACAATTTAACTGTGTTACGACACTGGCAATTAGTTTGAGTTTTAACAACACAATGATAATTGCCCGTTCAGTTTCCATGCTCATCAAACAGTTTCTACATTGATGCTAATAATAAATAGACAATAGAAATTTAAAATCAAACTGGCGCACACTGAGGTACTTAAACGATATGCTACTGATCGAAAATAAAAAAAATGAATGTTCATAAATGACAAGTCGAGTCAATACTTGTTTACTGTGGATTGTCAAGCAATTGTTGAGCTGAATTCAGCATGTTTGAGTCGATTTAGCAGCTCAAAAAAAACACGCAAATCTGAAATTTCTTGAAATCAAGACTTTTTTGAGAAAATTGGTAACATTTCCTTATCGATGGTTCACTTTCTAAAAACGTCATTTAGTTATCTCTGGAATTATGTGAAAATGAGCGGTCTTGTTCATTGCGCTTCCGAGAAATGAGCAAAAACGGGACGAAAAACATGAAATTTTGGCACAATCTTGCACCAAAGTGTCTGATATTCAAATTTCGCTGTGTGGGCCCAAACTGCTCGAATTTCCTCGCTCATGTTGTTTTGACGAAATCGGATTTTCAGCTCTCTATCCAACGATGCCAAAATTATGTGGCTCAAATGTTTCCTGAGAAACTTCGAAAAAAACAGCGTCATGTTTGAGTCGATTTCGCAACTCAAAAAGAACAGCGCAAATCGAAAACTTCTCGAAATCAAGACTTTTTACAGAAAGCTGCCAACTTTGCCTTATTGATGGTTTACTTTCTATAAAGGCCATTTACTTCTCTCTGAAATGATGTAAAAATGAGCCTTCTGGCTCATTTTGCTTCCGAAAAATGAGCAAAAACGGGACGGAAAATATGAAATTTTGGCATAACCTTAGACCTAAGTGTCCAACATTCAAATTTCGCTTTCTAGCTCAAAACCACTCTAATTTCCTCGCTCATGTTGTTCTGACTAAATTGCGTTTTCAATTCTCTATCCAACGATGCCAAAACGAATTCTGTGGCTCAACTGGTTCTTGAGAACTTTCGAAAAAAGCAGCGTCATGTTTGAGTCGATTTTTAAAGATAATTTGCAAAAAATTGCACAAAATCCTCTCTGAAATATTTTATTTTGCCAAAGTTTTAACTAACCTTGTAGAATGCAGATAATTGTTCATCCTTCAAAATATAACATTTTTACTTATTATATGATCCGCTTTTAATTTAAAACGTTTTTAAGAAATTACCACCAAATACTCCACTGTGCGGCTTTGAGAAGGAACCACGAGTGGAAAATTCCGCCGACCGAGGAGAGATGAAGGGAAATTCCTATACAAATGAACTTTTATTTGCATATGGCTTATTGTTCAATCATTAATATATTCAACGACGCTTCTTTCCTGTTGAAGGCCGCTTTGGACTGTAGATACCTACATGTTATTGCTTATAATCTGCTTCTTTGTTGTTGTCGTTTTGTCCCCGTTCAATACATGCGATTCGATTCGTCCACTTCTGCCAACAGGAAGATGGAATTAAAAAATCCATAAACAAATGTTGAATTAGTCGAAAAGCAAACACTTGATCCGTTTCAATAGATAACGGTTATTATGTACTAAAAATATAAGCAGAAAAACATGATAAGAGGTTAAATCCTTGAACCCTAGACGATTTTGGGCTGAGATGTACGTACAGTTGCATCTAGAGACTGAAAAGACGGACTTAAAGTTGTTGATACTAAATATTGAAAATGTTTTCAAGCGCGTATATGGCGACTTTGCTCTTATCAACGTAAACGCACTGCAATAATGGTAACATGACCATATGAACCGCAAGTTTTATCAAAACAGTTGCAGAGTTATCCAATGAAATTAGTTAGCGTCGAATTCCACGCCTGGTAGTTAGTCAAACACTCTCTACAGATAAGAAAAATCACTGGAAAAAATAAATATACTGACTGGAAAAGTTGGGCGATTAAGAGGATAGAGGCTTTCAGGATTGTCTTCTATCGAAAGAAATTCTGGGAAGTAGATAAGTTCTATATTGTTGAGGCGGATTCATTTTTTTACAAACTTCTTGTTGGGTATTTCGCCTCAAAAATGTTTGTCTTTAATAAAGGCAGAATTTCCTCACGTCTTTTATTACAGATTGATAAATAGAGCTCCTATTTCGCAATAAGAACGAATTATTTATCAAAAAGTAATCAAGAACTATAACCTAGAGGGTATCCTGCGACACACTTAGGCTCAAGCTGTACGAGAAAATTCCAATTAGTAAAAAAATTAATTTGAATAATTACCTTGACGTTTCGATAGCTATTTTCTGCTATCGTTATCAAAAGAACCTAAATGAACCTAAAAAAGAGTATGTTAATAAATTGTGTAACAATAGTAGGATAATACAGTATATGAAAATTCGCTGTGATAATTCGTCTGTGCAAATTGTCAGTTATGTGAGTTTGACTTAATCTCATTGTTTAAATTAATAAAGGTTAAAAGTCATTTTTAAACAGTGAGATTAAGTCAAAGTCACATAACTGACAATTTGCACAGACGAATTATCAGAGCGAATTTTCATATACTGTATTATCCTACTATTGTTACACGATTTATTAACATACTCTTTTTTAGGTTCATTTAGGTTCTTTTGGTAACGATAGCAGAAAATAGCTATCGAAACGTCAAGGGAATTTTTCAAATTAATTTCTTTACTAATTGGAATTTTCTCTTACAGCTTGAGCCTAAGTGTGTCGCAGGATACCCTCTAGGTGATAGTTTTTGGTAACTTTTTGATAAATAATTCGTTCTTATTGCGAAATAGGAGCACTATTTATCAATCTCTAATAAAAGACGTGAAGAAATTCAGTCTTTTTTAAAGACAAAAATTTTTGAGGCGAAATACCCAACAAGAAGTTTGTAAAAAAATTCTGGAAAGCCGATTTTTTTTCCGAACGACGCCATATCACGCCGGTTTAAAGGCGGGGATAGCGTCGCAAGAGCGTCGGTATTGGACTGTGTCCTACCCAATACAAAGTTCGTTTGTCTGGAAGCGCAACACTCCAATAATCCCCATCTTAAATAGGTTTAAACCCTGCAAACCTAATTAGACAGTGAAAGGTCAATAGCGCTTTTATGGCACGAGTTAACAATCAATAGTTGACTGTTTTAAAAAAATATTTATTTAAATGCATATATTAAAGTTTGACTGTTAACAACAAAACTTATGTTGCTCTTTGGTGGGCTTCAGCTTGACTGGCTTCCCGACGAAAGCAACTGCCCTTAAATGTAACAAAACTCCAAACTTGATTTACTCAAAAAAATACACCTATTTCCGCACCAGGAAATCTAATAATATTATACTACTAGCAATTAATGTTTATTGCTCACACAGTAGACCAAATGTTCAGACCGTAGGAAAATCAATATAGAGTTCATATTGTCCAAGGGGCGGCACTTCACCGGAAAGGGTACCCATAAGTCAGCCTGGCTCAGTAAGGCCGACATTTATGGTACCCCTAGGACATTTTGCCAGTAAAGATCAGAAAAACTGTTTTTCGATTTCCATATATTAGAAACTTGATATTTATTAATCATTAAAATGTCGAAAGTGAAATAAAACACAAATATCTCGGTTCTACGTCAGGGGGCATGAGCGTAGCGGTATCAAGTTCCTGGAAATGAACATCAGAATAGTAACGCAAATTTAAGCCGGAAAAATTCCGGTTGGAGCAAAAACTTGTTTTCAATTGCAAGCAATTCAAGCAGACATTGCGACGCCACTGGCCATTCTTATCGCTGTGGAAAGTTGATTCTTCTGTTGATTTCTGTCCCTCGTTAAGCTGATAAGCTCTTTATGCACTGATAGCTTATCGGCAACCGTATACAATGGGTTCCACTTGGAGGCGACTAGCTTATTGCTAAGCAAATATATAACGAGTGACGCCAAAAAAACTGAAAATTTCAACATTGGCTTTTTTCCGCGTCGTGTGTCGTCGTCGATCGGGCCTAGAAGCGGTCCCACAAAACTGGTAGATCAGGGTCCAAAAGCAATTTCTTGATTGGCAAAACTTATACACAAGACATGAAGAAACCGGCCCCTCGTTCGCCTTGGATTTAAAGTTCGCGGAAGGAGAGTGCGCCCATCTTGTAACACGAAACACCTTCGGTTTTATGACTGTCGCTTTTATTTTTTCACATTTTTGTTTGATCGATTTGGGTACTGCATACAGGGTGATTTACGTAGACCGTGCATTAGAAGTTTTACCATTTGCAGTTGTTTTAGGAACTTGCAATAGAACTGAAGATTTTATACTTTTAATTGTAAGAATTGCATATAATATGCAGGGTGAGGTTTTTTCGATGACCAGTACAGGGATCTTCGAAACTATAGCAGTTACGAAAGAGGTTAAATGGACAAAGAATTGTAGCTTTGAATGCTATACTCGAAACCAATTTTATTCTTCTAAAATTTGACAGCTGTCAAGAGATATTTGGGAAAAACTTATTTATGGTAAATTTTTAAATTGCTCCTAGTTCCGTTGACATTAATTTGGCAGGAAAACATTAAATAGAAAACTTCTAGGAAATTGAATTCCAAATAAAATAGCATGACATTTTTCCAAAATAAATTTAATTTTTGACAAGTGTCACAAATTTGAATTTTTTTAAATGGCAACCATACTTGATTATTCCTTTACCGAATAGAGCATTTTATTACGATTTCTGTGATATATCAAATCGTTAGGTGTTTTTCGAAAATAAAGTGTCTGCAAACAATTTAAACTTTTTACAAACTTCTTTTTGGGTATTTCGCCTCAAAAATTTTTGTCTTTAAAAAAGACAGAATTTCCTCACGTCTGTTATTACAGATTGATAAAT